AGTGACATACAAATTGGGGGTTCAGATTCCACCAAAGAAGAGAAGCCCAGTAATCACACCAGACTGTCAGCTGGAATCCTTGGAGGATTTCTATGCTCTAGAAATGGAGGCAAACCAGAGGGAGAGATAGAACCTTACAGAAACTGCAACCCAGACTCTAGCCAGTCCGACACCAACTGAATTAAGGTAACCTCCTCCCACTCTAACTACCAGAGAACACGGTGAAGCCTCCCTGGAGGAAGACGTTATCTCCATAGTGTCTCCCGGAGCCACTATAATTTACAATGCTCAGCATTCAATAATAAATTATCAAGCACAAGAAACAGGAATGTGGGGGACACACACATAGTAAAACCGACCCACTAGCGACCTAGATATTGGTGTTATCAGACACAGACTTGACTGACAAAATAGAGACTTTCTGCAATCTATAAGAATTAATAAAATGGAAATTTAGAATTGAAAAATATAATAATTTAAATTAACAACTTAGCATATGGGTTAATTACAATTAGACTTAGAAGAAGACAGATATACTGAACTGCAATATAGAACAGTATAAAAACTTGAAGCTGAAGAACAGAGCGAGAGTATGGAAAATACAGCAAAGAACATAAGAGACTTGTGGGAAGTGGTGGACAGAACTAACCTACGTATAACTGGAGTCTTAGGAGTGGAGGACAGGAAGATTGGGCCAAAAACAGCAGTCAAAGAAATACAGGCTGAGAATTTTCCAAAACTGATAAAGCTTTTTGACCTCCCCATGCAAGATAAATAAAAAGAAAACTGCATCTAGGCACCCAGAATGCTCACACTTCTAAAGACCAATGACAAAAAGAAAATATTAAAAGCAGCCAAAGAGGTGGGGGAGACATGTTACTTTCAAAGGAGAACAATAGCCTGACAATCACTTGTCAGCAGAAATGACAGAAGTGAGAAGACATTAGAATGCCATTTTGAAACTGCTAGGGAAAAAAGGTGTTAACCCAGAATTCTATAACCACAAAACATTCTTTTTTTTTTTTTTTTTTGAGACAAGAGTCTCACTCTGTTGCCCGGGCTAGAGTACTGTGGTGTCAGCTTAGCTCACAGCAACCTCAAACTCCTGGATTCAAGTGATCCTACTGCCTCAGCCTCCCAGGTAGCTGGGAATACAGGCATGCGCCACCATGCCTGGCTAATTTTTTTTCTATGTATTTTTAGTTGTCCAGCTAATTTCTTTCTATTTTTTTAGTAGAGACAGGGTCTTGCTCTTGCTCAGGTTGGTCTC